GTGATAACATAAGGTAGTTGTGGGATATATTGATTGATTGCATAAGGAAATCATACCCTTGAGTTCAGAAGAGGGTCTGAGGAATTGGATTTCAGTGCTAGTTTAAACCAGTGAATAATATTTGAACTAGCCTTTAATTAAAGGAAAATTTAAATGATAAACATATGAGGGGAAGCCTGCATATGATCCCAGCTACTCAGAAGGTTGAAGCAGGAGGATCTCAAGTTCCCCAACTTAGGGAAGCCCTGTCTCAAATTGCAAAGAGGGTTGGGTATGTAATTCAGTGCTACCTAGGTTCAATTCCCTGTACAGGGGTATGCGGGAGGGAGTGTGTGGGAGAGCTATTGGCAGAATAAAGGTTGAGGAATGACATTGATAGGGTCGGACACACTTGTGTTCAGGAAGTGCTTTTTTGTTTGTTTGTTTGCTTTAGTTTTACTTCATATGACCACAGGGTGATCGGCGGAGTTGGAATGATCTTTTGGAGTCAAGGCGTCTGTAGTCAAGACTGAGGAGTTTATATTTGTTAGTCTATTAGTCACTGTATTTAAACTGAGGCCTAAGCTGAGAGAATTATTTCTGAGCAAATTTATCCTGCAACAATATATTAGATGGTTTGAGATGTAAAGTAGTAAACCCTGAACTGTAGCTGGAATGCGAGCAAAGGAATGGAATGTCTTTGTCGTTGTTATTTTGTTATTTTTTTTTCTCTTTAAAATAAAAAAGGAATGGTATGAAACTTTTTAAAAAATTTTTATTTAGAAAGCCGGGCCTGGTGGTACACACCTGTAATCCAGCACTTGGGAGGCTGAGGCAGGAGGATCACTGCTAGTTCTAGGCCAGCCTGAAAAGCGTATTGAGTTCAAAGCTAGCTTGATCTACAAATGAGACCCTGTCTCAAGACAACAACATTTTATTTAGAAATAACTTTAAATTTTTGAAAAGGCCCAGAATTAACAAGACTGCAAAGAAGAGCAATGTACATTTGCTACTGTAAGCATTTCAACCCCATTTTCTTGACATTTGCCATTTTTTCATGTTCTCCCCCCTTCTCTTTCTCATTTAAAAAAAAAAATTATTAGGGTAGTGGTACAGTTTAGGTATATATAATGATCACCTTCATCACAGGGAACTTCTTCCTTACCCAGTTAAGGAGAGGTGAGACACGTAGTGACTCTTTTTCCCTGAAAACCTCAGTGTGTACCTTTTCATCGACACAGAAATACTGTGCAATAGTACTCCCAGTGCTCTCGGGGGCTCAGTGCTGTCTACCGGTTGTGCGCACCTTTCCTCCTCTTGCACAAAATGTAGCACAGGGTCCAACACTTGACGTGGATGCTGTGTCTCTTTAGTCTCTTTCAATTTACAGCATTTTCATGAGCTTTTGTCTTCTGTGACATCACCATGTGTGGAAACTGTAATTCTCTTTGCGCCTTGCGTTAATGCAAAGTCACACACTTCGTGCTTACCTGATGTTTCCTCATGACTCCACTCTGCCTAACATTCTGGGGGGAAACGCCACACTGCTGACATCCGGCCTTCTCCGGGATCCTGTCTCCAGGCAAGGGCCGGACGTGCTGTCCGTGTCTCTGGCGGGCGATTGAGTTTGACCAGTTGGTTGACATGTTGTTTAGACTCTTCAGTGTGCAATTGCTGCATTTTCTCCCTTGCAAACTAATAACCTGTGGACAGACACATTAAGACTGTGCGCGTAACCTGTGCTTCATCAACTTTTGGCCAGGATTTAGCGTCTGTTGAAGGTACTTGCCTGATCAGCTAATGTTCCATGCACAGATTTTATTTATCCTGCCTTACCCTGGTCTTAGCTGTTGGTTTTCCATGTAAGTCAGGAATACCACAAACAGCGTGGTCATCATTAGTAGGGTATCTTAGCCTCCAGACACTTTCAATGGGCACGTGGGAAATCTATTCAATATGCACACCTGCACTTCTGTGTAATATGAATGTACACATGCTCATACATATAAATTACTCACGTGCATAAACATGGACGTGTACATGTTTTCCAAAACACGATTTCACATCGGGATCTCCTTATTTACAGCACTGTTCTTGATTTCCAACCCTGCATACATCCATATATTTTCCTCCAAGATGAGAATTCAGCTCCTACTAATACCATTTATTCATTGGTTCAGTCTTATAATGCATCTGAAAGAGTTTCATAGGTGCTTTTCCTATACCAATTAAATTGATAAAACACCGGAAGAAAATTCAGGATTACTTTGTGATTCTTCCCATTCCTCTCTAAGGTTAAAACATACACACTCAAGTGCTGAGTGTATAAATCTCTTGGTTAGTTATCTATGCACTTTCATCTTTCCATCCTTCATTTCTTCATTTTTGTCAAAGATCTCATGAAGTCAACAGTTCATAATAACTAATAATCAGTCTTGATTTGTCTAGTATGAAAAGGGTTTCTGAAAGGAATAATGAGAACTCATAACTGAGGCTTAGACACAGAGCGGGAGTTCCTTCAAACCCAACAGTGGCCTCTTGCAGCCACTCAGGAACCAGAAAAGCAGCAGCAGGAGTTGTTATTAAATGACATAGGAAGAACTTAGAAAAGGAGAGCACTAGAAACTGCATGCAGTGTGCTACATGATCCCCATCTTGGGCCACAGTAATTCTACTAACTATTTGTTGAACACAGGGTAGGGCATCCTCAGGCTGTTCCTGGGAATGTCTGCCTCTTACCCAGGTTTGCAGCAGGAAGGCCCAAGGAGAGAAATTTCCTCTCACATTGGGGAGGGTCGACAATGGGCAGGATCAGTCAGTGAGTGTGGAGTCACTGGGTTTGAATGCAGTACTTTGTCTAAAACTCTGGAATTCTGTGTGTGTGTGTGTGTGTGTGTGTGTGTGTGTGTGTTGGCCTGTGCCCACCTGTGTCCTCCTGGGAAAGCCTCCACCTTGTACCCAGTTACTCAAGCCTAAGAGCCAAGCATCAGCATCTCCTCTTCATCATTTTGCAGATTATCCCTGAAAAATAATCTCATTTTGTCCATTTTCTGTTAAAAATACTCTAGTTAAAACACACACACACACACACACACACACACACACACACACACGCTATGGCCTCTGCCTGCTTCAAACCCTCTAATCGTCCCTAATGTGACAAGCGTTCGTGGTGAGAGTGCTGGCCTTGGCGTCCTGTGGACCTCACGTGAGCCTCCAAGCTCACCCGCAGCTCTCGCCTGCTCCCCTCCCAAAGGCTTGCTTCCCTTTTCTCCCCTTCCTGGAGTTCGTCTGTCGATTCCTTTCCACAAGTTTTACTATAGCTTTTGTTCAATCCATCGCACGCAGTTTAAACATGATCTCAGCTGCCTACGCCCTTTCCACACACACCAACAGAAAGCCCTGTTCATCACATTCCCATCTTTCTAAGTTTTTAAAGTTATATACTTAATTTTTTGCCACCCCTTTAGCCTGCCTTCCCCTAGTAGAGTACAAGTTTTGTAAAAGCAGGGGTCATGTCTGGTCTCTTGACGCTGTTTCTTGACTGCATAGCACAACACACAGTATCTACAGTGATACTACACACAAGAGCTCTCAATGGATGAGCAAGTGAACTTAACACCTTATTTTGTTCCACACCAGAAATATAACTCAACTCAGAGCAAACAATTGCCCTCTTCTCTTTCTATTTAGTGAGGAATAATGTAAGCACAGAACTGGATGGTCAGATGTACCCACTGCTACTAGGTTGTCTGCTTCCTGACACTTTCCCAGGCAGAGCTAGAAAATATATACAAGTAGATACACCTGTACTTATAGACACCTCTGAACATCCACAAGTACATACAAATTGCATGTGTGCACAAATATATACATACACATGTTTTAGAACCCTAAAACTTTGCCTCATAAAATAATCATAACATCTTTTTCCTTTAAAGTTCTTTCTCCTTATTTACTGGACGTGTGTTTAAGAAAGTGAAACACAAGTGTAAGTGATGAATGGAAACTATTTTAAAGGAAACAGCCGGTATGTTTTGAGAGGATAATTGCCCTTAGGTGCTTATTCTCCCCCGTGAGCAACCATATCTGCCATGACTGTTGAAGTGATTTATATGTGCTTCTTGGAGTAAAAATAAACTTGAACATGGATCATCAGGTTTTTTCCTCATATATGAGCCATGTTTGTTTCAGCACTGTTTTATATTCTTTTGGTAATTTAGGCTCTGTATAAATACTCGATTCCTTTGAGAAGGGAAAGCAGATACTGTTACTTTAGTTACTGAACTTCTGGGTCCTACTAAAAAAAGCGTTCCTCCCTGTTTCGGAGCTGCCAAGCACTTTGCAGTTTGGGACAGTGTTTAATATCAAGCTTTAGAAATGCCTTTCACGTATGCTATTGGCTGTTGGCAGTAGAGCCTTTAAGAAGAAATACGGCAGTTGCCAGATTGGGGTGGGGTTCATTGAGTTAAAATACAGCTTTCGAAGTACACCAAAACATAAAAATTAACACAGTGATATCAAGTCCAAGTGATACTTCGTGTTTCATATTCTTCCTTCTAGATAGCTTATTAATTCACAGTTGCTGGTGTCTCTGGAGCTCTGTACTGGGAAATGAGTAAACGCTGATTTATGAAAGGTGCAGACCCCACAGAGCCACAGGGAACAGGTTGTAGAGCAAGAAGTTAGGAAGCAGAGAGAAATGATGTCATATGATCAACACAAGCTGCTAAGAATGTAATAGTACCGTGCATCAAGTAGATGATCAAAAGGTATGATGGTAGCAGGGAGAGAGAAGAGACGAGGAGCGTGGTAATTTCTGTTTAAAAGAACATATGAGGAGGAAGTCAGAACTGGCTGACGCTGGCAAGAGAACATGGCGAGGCTGTCTGGAGCGCTGTCGTGGAGTGTTAAGGAGTGGAACAGGGGATCTGAGCATAGTACGGAGTTAGGCATAGTGGAGGGCATTGCCCTTTACACCAGTGTGTTTATAATCATCAAAGTCAACCAGTTACGTACGCAAACCGTTTGTCTCATGCCACAGCCGCCACCTCTTTTACATTTTACTTACAGGCAGTCCTTTAAGATGCTGCCCAGCATTTCACCCACTTTCATTACGGAAAGCAAAGCCCGTCCGTCCCGTCTAGGGGGCCCGGGTAGATGGGTGTCCGGTCTTCATTTCTTGTGAGAACGAGGGTCTGTGCCTGTTCCCAAGGCCTGTTCCGGGGATTGGCCCTACTTTATATTTTCATTAATGTCATGGGTGATGGGATAGGGTAAGCTCGATAAATTTTCCAATTATGCCCAATTGAATGGGGAAGCCAGCCAAGAACTTGGCTGGCAGAACTTGATTGTAATTTAAATGACCTCTGTGAGTTGCAGCACAAAGTAATGGCAGTTTAATTAGACAAGAACAAGATGCTAGGAATGAACCACTGGCCAAGAGTGCTTTTTCATTTGTGTCCTGCTTTACCATTTAGAGAGTAAGCTCGCGTCTTGATTTGCTTACCTTCAGCCTTAGGGAGGTAGAACCGTCACTCTGAAGGTACGGACCGGATGAGGTTCGCTTTTACCGACTTTGAGGGGAGGTGAAGGGATAGGGAGGGATGGGGTGAGCTGGCTCGTGAGCCACTGTGTCTTCGCCCGAGCTTCCCGCCGGCAAGCGTGAAGAAGACGGTACCTGGCGGTAAGGAGGGATGACTTCACTGCTATTCTCTTCTTCTCCCTTTTTTTTCTTTTTTTGTCTTTTTGAGACAGGGTCTCCCTATGCAGTTCAGGCTGGTCTTGAGCTCACTTTGTAGCACAGGCTGGCCTTGAACTCATAATGATCCTCCTGCCTCAGCCTCCTGGGTTCTTGGATTACAGGCGTGCGCCACCATGCCCGGCCGTATTTTCAAAATTCCTTGTGTTTGAGTTAGTACCTTGTGGCCAGCTTGGATATGCAATACAAAAGGGCAAGGACAATTGCTAGCTCCAAGGGTCTGCAGAACTTCTGCAGCGTTAGGGTAGCTCACACCAGAAAAGATTAGGGAGAATGAAAGAACACATTTAGCTCCAAATACACTTACATGCTTTGTTACTGGAAGGGCAGCCAGCAATAGTTCACTGTTTATTATTAGTATTATTATTATTATTACTATTGTCTTTTTGAGACAGGGTCTCGCTATGCAGTTCAGGCTGGCCTTGAGCTCACTTTGTAGCCCAGGCTGGCCTCGAACTCCTCCTGACTCAGCCTCCCGAGTGCAATAGTTCACTGTTTAAAGAAAAACATACCCTGACCTTGAGCTGAGAGGTGCCGGTTTCTAATGGGGGATAGAAGATAGCCATCGCCCTTAATCCCTTCCTCCCTCCCTTTCTCTCACTCCCTCCTGTCCCTGCCTCCCTTCCACTTTCTTCCTGCCTCCCTCCCCTCTGTCCTGTTTCTTCCTTGTTTTAAACATTCTGTCACTTTTGTTCATGAAGAGGGTTTTTGTTGAGACTACTGACCTGAGAAAGTGTTACTGTACAAACCAGGCTTACGCTTTAGTGTTTCTTAGGTATTTTTCACGATGCACAACTGACCATGAAAGAGGTACTGGTTTTCTTGTGCCTTAGAGTTGATTCGCCATAGAAGTCTACAGCTGACAGTGTTTTCAGGTAGCAGAATTTATACCGTGTGCATTTTTTTCTTTTAGGCCAGATGGCGGGTGACCACACAAGGCTGGAGTTCCATAACATAGAGACGGGCATCATCACGGAGCGCCGGTACCTGTCCTCGGTGCCCTCCAACTTCATCGGGCACCTACAGAGCCTGACGTTTAACGGAATGGCGTACATCGACCTGTGCAAAAACGGTGACATAGATTACTGTGAGCTCAATGCCAGGTTCGGCTTCAGGAACATCATAGCAGACCCCGTCACCTTCAAGACCAAATCCAGCTATGTTGCCTTAGCTACGCTGCAAGCCTACACTTCTATGCATCTTTTCTTCCAGTTCAAGACCACATCTTTAGATGGCCTAATTCTCTATAATAGCGGGGACGGAAATGACTTCATTGTGGTGGAACTGGTGAAAGGGTGAGTATGTGCCGCTTCCACAGCAAATATGACTGAGAGGAAATAGCTTTCAGTTTCCAAATACACGCTAAACACAGTGCACCGGTGTATAAGGTGGCAGGTGGTAGGTGGTAGGTGGTAGGAGGGCAAACAGTGGATTTGTCTGGCACATTTATTGGGATTCTTAATTATACATGGGTTCAACACACTCTTTTGTATCTGCATTTTGACCTATGTACAAATCGCATCAAGTTCTAATGTATAGCTGAATTTCACTCTTCAAATGTATATTTCTTGACTATGCACAGTGTAATTCCAAAGAAGAGTTTCTGCAGGTCTGTAGGCAGATAGGTGCTAAATTAAACAGGTAATCCGAATAATTTAAGATTACTTAAATTTCACACAATTGTACTTACCTCAGGCTTAATTCTATGTCAGAATTCCTTGAATAGTTTAGGAAGAATAATTTTTCTGAATTTTCTTTAAAAGTGGGATGAAAATTTGATTTGGGCTTTTATTCACTCACTCACTCACTCAGTGAATGTTGTTACGTGTTTATAATAAGGTAGATAATGTGCCAGGCTATATAGAGGTATTTTTCCTTGCCATTCCTGTGTGTATCTCAGACTGCCACCAACCGTGACACACACACACACACCCAACATACAATCCCAGTGTCTATAGGTGAAACAAAGTGGAAAAAAAAAACACTCTAGAAGCTTCCTGAGATGCCCATGTAGAAACGCTCAGGAGAATCTGGGAAATTAAGAAGACTTAGGGGAGAAGGAGGAGATATCTGAACCTGGTCATGAAGCATGAGGGCATCATTTCCATGCAGAAAGAGGGATTCAAAATGGAAAGGAAGGATGCGCTAGAAGCCTAGAATCGCTATTTCAACATGGTAAGAAAAGAAGGGAGAGAACAGTAGGGTGGGGGAGGCAGAGTGAAAGCTCGGCCTCCTGCTGAAGCAGCGGGCTTCTTACCTTCCCACCTGCCTGGCATCTGCGTGACTCACTCTCAGGACTTCCAGCAAGGACAGAGACAGCTGCGTGGAGGAGGGCTGCATCGGTAACATCTGATTTAGCTCCATCACGAATTCAGAACGCAGTGACACTTCCCTCTCCTTTGTTCTCCAGATACTTACACTACGTGTTTGATTTGGGAAACGGTGCTAACCTCATCAAAGGGAGCTCAAACAAACCTCTCAACGACAATCAGTGGCACAATGTGATGATATCAAGGGACACCAGCAATCTCCACACTGTAAAAATTGACACAAAAATCACGACGCAGATCACTGCTGGAGCCAGGAACTTAGACCTCAAGAGTAAGTACTTCCTCGGGGGAGGCACTGGCATCGCACCAGATAGTCTCCGTTCCTATGGAAAATGCTTTGGGGCCGTGTGGGCTTGCCACAAAGGCTGACCAGAATCTCATTTCCAGCACATGATTAATAATACAACACACAAGCCTCAGTTCTTCCTTTAATGTGGCAAGAACATATGTATTTTTAATAGCAGCTCAGAAAATGCAACACCTTGAAATGCACACATGGTTACAATGTAAAGAGTGAGAAAAATGTACTCATAGTCTTGATATGATAAAGAAGAGTAGACAATGGCAGGTGTCATCCATCCCAGCAGTTTTCCATTGACTTGTTGTCAAGGTAACGAGGTGCATAAGGCACTTCCTTACAGTTTATTGCTCTTGTTCCTGGGTGACTTTTCCTAAATGCCTTCAGACTCTCTGATCAATAGAGTTGAGCCTGCCCACCCCCAGGAAGGCGTCCTTCATCAGCTATTAGGACGGTCTTAACAGATGTTTTCCTTCCTTATTGATACTTGATTTCTCAAATCACCAAGAGGAAATGCTGGGAGCACATGTCAGCACCCAGAAAATAAGAGAGGTTTCTGATTGAATGGGCCTTTGTGAGTTACTAAGAAGAGTGTCTGCTTATCCTATCTCATTGAACACAACAAGCACTGGAGAGCATTGTATTGTCATGTTATTCTGAATGCAGGAAAGGTGAGGTTTGAATGACTTACCCAGGGATAAAACAGCTGCTGTGAAGGGGAGAAGCAAGTTGGGTTCTGACAGAAACCTCTCCCAGCGCCCCTCTCCTCTAACCTGACGTGATAAAAGCCCCGTGCTTATCACTGTAGGAAGGTTTTGCTTGGACCAAGAGGCTTATTGCTAGTGATGGGATCTCCCTTTGATTCGAAAGGTAACTCCATTGGAGAGTTAGGAAGCTGGGAAGAGAAAATCCAGCAGAACTCCTTCATGAGAAAAACACTCCTTCTAGAGAGGTTAAAGTGAAAGAAATCGTTTCACTTCCTGTAACTGCAGAATACGTTTACATTCCTGGGACTTCGTTTGTCCCCCACACAAATGTGCAGTAACGCCCTTCTTCCTTGTCTCACGGGGCCTCTTAGTAGCTTCACAGAGCTCGGTGTCCCCCAAATCTACTAGCTGAGCTCAGAAAAGCAGCGTGGGGTTCAAAGGCAATTCTGTGCAGCCGGGAGACCTCGGCCCCTCGCCGCTCCTTGCCGGAAGTGGGCAGAGCGGGCGTCTGCCCAGTTGGAGGGCCCCATGGTTGGCAAGGCCAACCCACGTGATCGTCAAGGGAAAGGCTAGGTGCTGATTCAGTCTGCGGGCTGAGCCGCCACCACAGGGAAAGCGAGGCCGCGCCTTGTTTGTGTGGGAGTGTCAGAGTGTGTAAGTGAACTTCACCGGAGGCTGTGGGCGCCATGCCAGAGGCTAAACCCAGGACAAAAGGTGCGGCCATGACAGGTTGAAGTAAGTGATACGCACAGCCCTGCGGTTGAGGCCACAGAGAAGTAGCCCTAGACAGCAGGTCGGGTCATACCGTTTTGGATATTAATGATACTGTCTCTGGAGAAGCCAGCATTTGCTTATCAAAAACTCTGTAACAGGAAGCTGTGATAAGATGGGGTGGGTAGGTGCACCCATCTGAGGTACTGAGGTACCTTTACGAACCTCAGAAGCCTGTACAACTGACTTTGCTTAAAACAGAGACCGTGTGGTCATTCTGAATATAAAGCTTTTGCTGTGATTAAAAAATACCTAAAATGGTGAGTTACATAAATGACATATAAAGATATTAAGTGCTAAATTCTGAAACCCTTACTTTTAAAAAAAAGCCCAATTAAATTGAGTGTGGTAGAAGCATATGTGCTTTTAACATCAGTTCAAAATGCAACCTTAGACTACATGCGTGGTTAAGATTTCAAAAGTGAAAGAAGTAGCTTTAGTCTTGCTTGATGTGATAGAATTTCTCAACGGAATAATTAGATTTTTAACTAATGACTAGCACTTTACACCTGGTGAAATTCTTTTTGGACTTCAAACTGAGTCAAAAAGTGACAAGTTCCTAAAATCACTCCGGGCTTTTGGCTCCTAACCTGGGTGTGTAACCCAGGCCAACAGTAACTGCCAAAGCCCTCTTGCCATGCGCGCTGTTGGCCATCAGAGGGCTCCAGATGTGACCTGCGCCTTCCCAGAACACCCTTTGGAGTGTCTGGCCTCAAGCGTCAGCCAAATGGTGTTTACTGAGCCCTGATCCCGTATCCAGAGGGGACAGCAGAGCTGGGGGGAGGATGACAGTGTCCGCAATGAAAAGCCACTGTCTGAGTGAGCAGACAGACGTTGAGGTATCACACACAGCTCAGAGCAGGACGGGATGCTTCAGAGAGGCATCAGGCCCTGAACCTGAACTGGGAACACCAGGGAGACCGTGAGAAGTAGTAATGTTTGGAGGGTGTCCGAACGGTCAGCGAGAGCAACCCGGTTCTTTCTGTCCTTCCCACCTGGACGCCCAGAGTGCTGTATAGTTAACGGAACCTGTCTAGATTCAGGGCGAATGGAAGCTGTCTTGGCGTGACTCTGGTTTTACTCTATGACCTGGACCCTTAAAGAATTTACTGAAATGCTCAGGGTGGTTCTGCAGCCTGCTCAGTGCCATTGCTGCCACCTCTGGTTCTTCTCTAGGCGAGGGAGCGGGCCGGACGACATCAGAACTGTAGGAGCGTGTTCGTGAACTGCGCATTTCCGGACCCCACAAGTCAACTGAGGCGGTTCCCGTTGAGAGTGTTCAAGCAGTGAGAGTATTTTCAGAGATGACTCTGTTACAGAGCCCTGAAGTAGTGCAAGATCTGTGCTGGGCCGACTTTAACGCACGTCAGCCATTTCTGTAGAAGTCTTTGCTTTGTTTTCATTTTAGAACTCGTTTTGTTGTATCCCTTCTTGACTGAAGTCACATTTATTGCCTGACTCTACTTTCGGCTCTTTCCCCTTTGCTTTACTATACCTTAAATAGACACCAGAGGGCACCATAAGGCCGCAGACCGCGCTGAGTGGCGGCGGTGGGTGGGGTGACCTCAGCTCGCTCCCTTTGTTCCGGGAAGCAGAATTCCTTTGTTTCCAGACCTCTGAAATTCCACATTTAGCCTTTGCAATAATGCATGCTTTTGTCTGTGGATCTGTTTCATTTTATAAAGGGAATTTTAGTGCAGAAATCTGAAAGCCGGGGCCGGGTATTGTCTTCCCCTCCTAACCCCCATGGATATAGTCATAAATGGGCAGGAGTCTAATGTTCTTTCTCCAAGAGGACTTGCATGCAGATGACCTTGTTCAAATTATCTTTCCTGACACTGCCAGGTTCTCAGGGGGTCGTATGTCTCTCCCTGCTGATTCCGTTTTGCTTTCATCTTTATGTCCCAGCTGTTTGTGTTCTATCCCCCCTGGCTGTTATGCGCAAGCTGCAACTCGCAATGAAAGCAGCAGCACATTTGCTCTCTGGAGGCGCCTCCCAGCCCAGCTCTCTGTTCATACTGGAGCCTCCGCGTCTTCACCCCGCCGGTGAGATGAAGGGGTGCACTTTCCCCTTCTGCTCCTTCTCTTGTTCTTGTGTTTGGCCAGTGTGTATGCTTGTGTGTACATGTAGATGGGAAGGGCTAATATTTATCGAGACTCTAGGAAATACCAAATAGATTTTTAATGAGGTTATTATATGTAATCCTCACAGTTACCCAGGGATCTGAATTGGAGCCAGCCTTGCTTATTCATTAATATAGAAAAGAAGGGTCATTTTCAGTCTCCACCATTCCTGGTAATACAGGCATAAGCATATCCTTTGTAAATAGAGTGTAGTTTGCTTGCTGGGGATAAAAGTGAAGAATTCTGGGAGCATAGGATGCAGTGCCCTCAAGTGGCCACACAGTGAAACGACCTGAGGAAGTCACGGGCTCATCTAGGTCATCCTTGTTACCTTGTCCTTTCTCCTTTACTCTGCGTCAAGCCCTCAGTTTTCTGCCCCAGGGGGTGGGGCTCTGTGCAATTTTATGATCTTGGCTTGTCGCTTGTCACCACCTGTCTCTTCCACAACTGTCCCATCACCCTAAGTCTCACCCTGGAGGGAGTTGCCTGTTACCGCGTGTCCAGCTACCAAGCCACTAAATGGTCTCCCGGTCAGAAACAGCCAACCACGGCCTTGCATTCAAGCATCCTCGGTCTCTAAGCAAAGCCGTGAAGATCCTCATTCTCTTCTTCGTGACTCCAGGCAAGCCCATTACCCACTGTCTGCCTCTCCAGCCCTGCGAAGGAGGCATAGTCTCCCATTTCTACCCTGTCCTACTGCTCTTTGAAAACATTTGCTGAAATATATCACCAAGCCAGACGCTGTCCAAGAGTGCTGTTGTGTGTAGACATGTCCTCAGCCCATACGGCATCTGACAGCCCACGTGCCATGCCTGGACAATTTACTTCCATGGGAAGAGTACAGGAAGGGCTTGAGCTTGAGCTGAGCTCAGAGAGGAGCGTGATATTGAAAGTGGAAGGCGGGACCTGTGGCCCTGTGGTGAGGGCCCTGCTAGAGTTCTTGTGTGTAACAGAAAGAGATGCACTAACGTTGCTTCAGTTTGTGGGAAATTATTGTAAGGATTCATCAGGAAGTTAGAGACCCAGACTATGTTCTAATTGTCGCAGTGCAGAGTCACAGGGGTCCCTCTTAGGTGGCCCCTGGGATCTGCCTACCCTGCTCCCTAGTACTTTCCCCGCTGTCACCGCGGCCCCCAGACCCTCTCTCCTCCCCACCCCCTTTTTGCCACTGAGGGAACTCCTTTGGCCTTTGGTTTCCTCTGACTTGCGACTTCGACCTGTGGCTTCTGTCCCTGCGTGTGTTTCCTCTTCTGTCTCATTCACCCTTCGTCTCCCTTCCTAATTCCTCAGCAGACGGATTTAGTGTGGGGAGCGGTCCTGTCCCCGTCTGTTCTGGAGCACGGCCCCACAGGTTTTACCCCGCTCTTGCTA